GACCACTTCCAGCCCCTCAACCACCCATCCTTGCCGAAACAAGATTAAGATGTATGACTCTGGAACACAAACATGATCAATCTAAGGAAACAATAATTATAACCAGATACGTTCACACTTGCACCATCTACGACAGAAATCTCTACACAACGGTTGTCTCCCTAACAATCTTCATGAAATGATTCAAATGTCTACCCTACTCATGGGTCTCCGAACATGCTCTATTCTGAGCACGACGTGTATGCAAAGAAAGAAAGGAAGAAAGAAAGAAAGGAAGAAAGAAAGGAAGAAAGAAAGAAAGACAGAAAAGAAAGACAGAAAGACAGAAAGACAGAAAAGAAAGAAAGAAAGAAAGAAAGAAAGAAAGAAAGACAGACAGAAAAGAAAGAAAGAAAGAAAGAAAGAAAGAAAGAAAGAAAGAAAGAAAGAAAGAAAAAATGAAGAAAGAAAGAACGAAAGAAAGAAAGAAAGAAAACACGACCTTAGTGGTGCAAGAAGCCAAAACAACTTTAAACTGGATGTTGATTTATTTAAACAGAAAGGCACAATAAATAAGCGGCAGGATAAAAATTTTAAAAAGTCTTTCGAAAGAAGTGGAAACATATTTTTGGGTCAAACTATATACGGTTATTTAATCAAGTCTGCAATATAGCTCGTACACGACAGAAACATCATAGCTTTGGGGGAGGGGGGTTCGTTTATTTACTTGTTTGTTTGGGGGATTTGGGGTTTTTCTCTGATGTTTTAGTGTGTTGGTGAAAAGCTTTTGGTTCCATTTACTTAGACACTTTAAATTTTGGATGGACCTAATTCTCATTAAAACTTGTCTTTTCGGGCAATATTTTTTTAAGCGATAGGTTGATGTAAAGGGTGATTTTCCACGATACGGGGGGCTTTTTCCTGTGCATCCATCTGTGATTGAAAATAAACATAATTTACCATACACTTCAGCAACATGTCTCATTCATTAATTATAACTTTTATTCTACTTTCTTTGGTTCAAACAACCCAACTTCCCTTTTGAACACGGGATGATTGGAAATTTCCCAAACCGATAAACGGCTCGCAAGCAAGGAAGTATATAGAAAAAACGGGGGGGGGGGGAAATAGCCTTCCTCATGTACCTTTAAAATACAAAGTATGATACCAGTCACAATACAAGCCATCACATGTTTTACTCATTGTTCGTTTTAGAGGAGGTTTTACGCTGCTCGCAACTGCATAAGATCATAGTTTTTTTTACTCAGTATCAATTATTTTCTAACAAAGGTAAAGGGAAAACACAGCATATTAATAATACTCGGGCCATAATCATCAACATGAATAATCAGACAAACTGGTTGCAAGATTATTGTTTAAAGTTTAATAAAAATCGAAAGATGCAGTCAACTTTTATCTGTAAAAAGAAAAAAAAACACCCCAAAAACATGACCTTTAGGGGTTAGACGAACTATAAATCAGTCTTTAAAACAAGTAAAGGGCACTTAGATGGTAATTTCCTCGATGAAAGTTTATCTCGACAAAGTAATTACACCCGAAGGAGTAGACAATGAATCATCCAACCTCACGAGAGAGTTGGACCTTGTACGCATAATTTCTTCCGCATTTCGTTTTTTTAAAAAACCCAAAACAAAACAAACAAAAAACACAACCCACATTGCTGGATCCGATTTCAGACTAAAATAAATAAATAAGAGGTCCAATGGTCACTCCCAAGGGGGAAATCTAAAAAGATGGGTCCCATCGCAGGCACTTTCTGGCTAAGTAAAGGCTACGATGGAACGGGGAAATACACGGAGAGAGAGAAGAAACAGTGGAGATAACGACCAGCGGTGGACCGAGAGAGGGAGGAAAACGGCGTTCAAAATGCAAATGGACGTCTGGAAATAGGGGCAACGGCGCCGAAGTGGACATTGGTGGTCCAGTGTAAGAGGGGAGGAGGTGAAAAAGGG